TAATATGATCACAGACAGCAATAAAAGCCTGACAGATGTATCCCAAACTACAGTTTTAGTTGGAATTGAGCTTTAACATACAGTAGGTTCCTCAAGTGCTTTTGCTACTCTTAACATGGGAAAACCAAGGCATCTAATTTAACAAAAGATGCTTGGATGGGGGGTTCAGTAGCCTGTCCTTCATACAGGTTTGCGAGGATGAGACATTGATATATAGATATATCTATATATATAGATATATATATATTTCCAGTACATTACATAGATCTTTGTGGTCATGTTGGTGGCACAGTAAATGTACCCTAGGGCAGCATGGCACTGACATGAAGCCGTGCCTGAAAGCTCTGTGTTTGTGTGTTGTGGTCCACTTCTCGTAACATTATGTGAACTAAATAGATGGAAAATATGAATAACAATTTTTCCTTCTTTTTTTCCCCCACAGACTTCCAAGGAAGATCTCCTGCAAGCCGATTTCGAAGGGGCATTAAAGTTTTTCCGTGTCCAGCTGCCAAAACGATACCGGGCCGAGGAGAATGCTCGAAGGTTGATGGAACAGGCCTGCAACATTAAGGTAAGAAGTGTGAATCTCCCTTTATTTCTCAATTTTCTGTGCTTCAATCTGTATGATTAAAGTATATCTAATGCCAAACGTTTTTTTTTTTTCATTTGGTCACAGTAGAGAATGGTTAATATCTCATCATCGTTTTTTGCCATCCGTGTTCAATTTGGGAGACTTTGCTTCACTTCCTGTCCTGTAGGCATATTAGAAAGTGAGAAGAAATCTCTTCAAAGTGAGGGAAATCACACAGGGAAAACGTATCCCCCCTTAGAAGACTCCCCCCTCTATTCCTTTTCTGATAACTCGAAATTCAGGATTTTCCCTCATTTCAGTCCGAGTGACAATGATAATCAGAACAAATAGAGTGAATCTCTGTAGCGAAGACTTACAGATATTTTCAGTCTGCCCCCTATATCCAGAAAAAGTTTTTGCTTTACATACACTTTAAAGCTGAACTGTATATGTATTTCTCAAAAGCCACAGATGATATAAATCCATTTTGTGTGCACAAAATGCATTTGTAAACCCAGATATTTGTATTACCATATAAAAAGTAGCAGTGACATAATCACTGTGCTGTATATAGCCTGTACAGCAGAGATGTGGAAGGTACCCGGCAGGCTCCACCCACTGCAGGTTGCCTGCAGAAAACTACTTGAGGGGGCGGATACAAGGCCACGTCTCCCTGCACAAGGAGAGGGAGCAGCAGTGACCGGTCTTTATTACAGGAAGCTCTTGCCCAGAGGCAAAGTTACACACTGGATTACTGCACAGATCTGGAAAAAATACCCAGAGCTCACCAACTAGTTCAGATATACTTCTTATAGTAAAACAATATTTGTTTTTTCCATAGTTTTATTTGTACTGTATTCATTTTCAGTGGCGCTAGCAGCTTTATTTTTTTCCCCATCTACTGGCAGGAAGCATGATTATCAGTGTCTTGATGCAGGAAACAGGCCATAGCCACATGCAGCAGATACTACCTTTTAATAGTGCTTCACCTCTGTTTTTTCCTACATTGTGGATGAGAGATAGCACTCACTAGATAGAATGTGAATGTACTACATGCTTTTTGTACAGAGATGCCAGCAGTTCACAAGCCTATAAGGAAATTATAGCTTTATTGCAGAGACTCTTATGTTTTTTTTATAATGTCCACCATTTCTTTGGTGTTTCTGGCTCCTGCACACAAGCACCATTCCTGATACTATTAGGCCTCATGCACACCAGCACAGGAGGCCGTATAACATAAACTGCGGGCATATTTCAAGATACACAGCTGCAGTGTACATCTGCCCATAGTAATAAATGGCTGTAGGCCGTTGTATGTGGGTTTATGGTGCTACTTGCATAACCCACGCATGCATACGGGCATACAACCCTGATTGCAGGCAGTCTACGCATGCACGGGTTTATGAAAGTAGTGGTGCAAGCCCACTTACAGCCATGCACTACTATGGGCGCCTTTACACGGCAGCTGTGTATCCCAGGCACGGAAACACTGCCACAGTTTACGTTATATGGCCACATGGCCTTAGGGAGCACAGTTCAATAGGAAACAAAAAGACAGAGCCTTCTTCTAGTGTATTACCATTTATTAATGATAGAGGTGCACCGAAATGGAAATTTTAAAACCGAAACGAAACCAAAATTTAAAAAAATGTCAGGCCGAAACCGATACCGAAAATGTTTTTTTATTTTTATTTTGTCAAATTTTTTAAATATTTTAATTTTTTATAAACTTTTTATTTTTTATATTTATTTTTATTAATTCATTTTTTATTAAATATTTTTTACTTTACTTTTAGGGCAGGGGTGCCCACAATTTTTTGTGTTGAGATCTACTTTTCAAATGACGAGCTACATGAGATCTACCGGCGAAAAAAAAAACCTCCCTTGCTCTCTCTCCCCTGGATGTCTCTCCTCTCTCTCCTTGCTCTCTCTCCTGGCTGTCATTCCTCATTTTTTCTCCTGGCTGTCTCTCTTAGCTCTCTTGGCTGTCTCTCCTTGCTCTCTCCCCTGGCTGTCTCTCCCCGCTCTCTCTCCTGGCTCACCTTGCTGTATTTTGCAAACAGTGTAGTGCAACAGGCTGTGTAAACTAATATTCTTTTGATGTTCCACATAGCACTTCAACCTCCAGTATCCACCAGAAAGGTGTCAGGGAGCTTGGCTCAGCAGACTCAGGCTAATAGGTCATCATGTGTGCACAGCTAAATAAATATACCAAAATGGAATAAAGAGGCCACCATTCACACCCTTCGTGATCTACCAGCATCAGCTTTGAGAGCTACTGGTAGATCACGATCTACCTAATGGGCACCCCTGTTTTAGGGGCTTCGGGGAAATATTAGGGGTCTAAACAGTCTACCAATAAAGATTGGTAAACTTAGATCTGACTTGCATATACAACTGGTTACAAATTCTCCTACACCCACTGATGGACAGCAAAGTAGCTAACTGTATCAGTCATCAAGATGCATGTGTAGTGAAAGCCTTGGTGTAATATCCCTGAAGTCCTTTTCAGTCTGCTTTTCAGCATCAATAGTTTGTGTAAATGCATCTTCATTTTGTGCCCAACAGGGAAGGGTTAAAAAAAAGAGACCAGTAACTGTACTGCTGTCTGAAAATAAAGTGTTATTAATGTGTGATCCTATTCACACCTTGATTTATTTTAGAAGAGTTGGTTCCAAAGGTTGAGTCTAGAAAATCTCTATTTCTTGATGTGAAGACTTTGTGAATTACATTGTCCTCAGTCCAGATCAGATTATCTTCAGTGTGCCGGGCCTCAGCCACATTGATGTCTGTAGGGATTTCTCAGACTCTTGGACATCTGGAGAGATACACATGTTTTGAGGCCTGATGATGAGGCTCTCTGAATCTGGACATGTACTGGAGGTAAGTGTAATTCACATACCAAATTCTAGTTTAGCCATAAAGCAGAGACTGCCATTTACTGGAAGTGGCTTTTAACTCTTGTAGAGAGATTGCTTTTCTGTATGGTGAAAAGTAGCCACAATTAATGTTTTTTAATCAGAGCCGGATCATCCACAAGGCAACCTAGGCAGGAACCTAGGGCACAGTGGATGTCCAGGGGACACAGCCACAACCTTCATGCTCCTGCAGTAGACCAGAAGAATAGTGCAGTTGGTCAAAGTTGTTTTTCAGTTGGTGGTTAATAGGGTCATGGCAGTAGAGACAATGCACATGGCATGCCTTCTAAATATGAAGAATGGAGGAGACCAAAGCTGTTGCCTTGCCAAGGACCCCCTTCTGCCTCAATCTGTCTTCGCTATTAATCCCCCAAAGTTCACTGGTGGTGGATGCAGCCGTTAAGGTTTTTTACTTACTACCCCTGCAGAGGATGTTTCCTGTTGCAGGCATAACAGAGCTCGTCCTTGAAAAATGTGAGTTGCAATGAAAAGTGCACAGGGCGGTTTATCGGTACATGTACAGCAAGTTATGAATTGTTTCCTTGACACTATACAAAAGCTCCATGACTTTGCCTTGAGGCCATGTGTAGCTCTCTGTTCTTCTGCTATCTGTTTTTTATTATGTCCATCAGATAACAGAACAATTTCATTGCCCAGAGCATTGAAGAAAGCAGAGTACGCAGTATTTCCCCACTGCAGTTGTGATGCTGTTCTGGTTAAATATACCATGACTGCTTCTATGAGATCATTGTGGAAAATGGCAGACCGCTATATATTTGCAAATTCTGCATACTTATTCAAGGCTGTGTCTAAGCTGGCTTCAATGTGGAAGCTGCTGTTTCATATTGTTCAGAAGCCGATTAATCGATTATTGAAAAAGTTGACAACTTTTTCAATAATCGATAATAATCGATTATGTCGATTAGTTGTTACAGCCCTAGTTGAAGAAGAGAACTCCACCCGAAACTTCGTCATATTAGGACGGAAAGGAGAGATCGTTTTAGTGCAAGAAAGTCTTCATCCTAAGAAATAAAAGTTTGGAATCTGTCTTTGTAGCTTGGTAGATCTTTCATGCTGAAGTTCCTCCTTGCAGCCTCCTGTTCTCTCTGCTCCCTCTGCTTTGCCCTGGAAAGAAAAGATTAATGTTGTGTAAAATTAATTGATATATTTATCATGCTGCAAAATGACAGTCTTCATTAGTACAACGTCAGTGCTGCAGAAGTGAGTTTTCCTATCATCAGATGGCAAGTATATGTTTCTATAGCTAATACGAATAAATACCAGTGCTCAGTCTTTGAATGGATCATTTGGATTGGTGAGCACACAAAAGAAGCACCTCTCCTCCACGGCTTGGGAAAGGAATGAGCCGGGTGCTTGCCGCTCGGAGCGTGTCCTCGCTTCAATATGAGCCCATACAAACAGAAGAAAAGCTGGCCGCGTGCCGGATTCCATTGGGATAGTTTATTGAAGCTTGTACCACATCACTGGTGTCCCGCCCAAGGTCCACCCCCTCTGATGCGTTTCACCCAATCATGGGCTTAGTCGTAGAGACCGCATCAGAGGGGGTGGGCTTTGGGCGGGACACCAGTGATGTGGTACGAGCTTCAATAAACTATCCCAGTGGAATTCAGTACACGGCCAGCTTTTCTTCTGTTTGTATGGGCTCATACTGAAGCTATATATAGGCTAATTATAGGCTGATTCAGATTGGTGCTGCAGAATTATATAAAAAAAAAAAAATACATATATGCTGTAGTCTGTAGAAAGCAGCAATACAGCAACTGTGTTTACCAAGGTCCCTCCTGGAAGATAGTTAAATACATGATGATCTGCCTGTAGATCAGTTAAACCTTCATTTCCTTCAACTAGGTGAAATCACTATGTGATTGTCACCCTTCACTGCTGCTGCAACTGATATTACAGCAGCACGTGGGGAAATAGATGGGATATTGATGTTGTCACCGCTAATAGCCTGCCTACTTCTTGCCTGTTAACATCAAGCTGCCCTCATATCCTCCATTAACCTATGTGACTGACAGTACACTGCTGCCTATTATGCAGGCTGTAAGAGAAGATGGACAA